TCAATTGTACCTTTTCATCTTCATATTTTCTTATACACTTCTTTTTTTCTTCTACATGCATATATGTGGTCATGTGAATAACTGGTTGTAAGACAACACTGTACTATAACAAATACTGTGAAATTCACATTACTTTGTTAGGTGAAATTCTGTAATTTTTTTTGTTTTAATTCTAATTTGTACTCTCTTTAAAAATACAAAAAGTGAAAAAATAGGGGCAAATGGGTTAAAGGGAAGAGGGGGGATTGGGGAAAAAAGGAGGAATCACAATATATATAATGTATGGGTACAAGTTTCCTATGATGAATATGTATATGTAAAATGTAGCAATAAAATTAAGAAAATAAAATAAAATCTAAACAATTGGCATATTGATGCACACCTGTAATCCCAACAATTGGGAGGCTGAGGCAAGAGATTGGCCATCAGTTTGAGGCCAGGCTGGACTACATAGTGAAACCCTGTCTCAGCGTCCCCTATAAATATACAAACAAGCAAATAAAATCTAGGATAAATATTGGGCTTTGGCTGGCCAAATAACTCAGCGCATTAAAGTGCCTGCAAGCAGGTGCAGGGGCTGGGGGTTTGATCCCCAGGCCTGCTGTGCCAGCCCTGCCACCAGGATACACTGAGACAACAATTGAGACTGGGTGTGGTGGCATGTGCCTGTAATCCCAGCACTTGGGAGGCTGTAAACAGGCGGATCACAAGTCTGATCTAGTAGTGAGACCCTGAATACCCTGTAGACCCTTCCCTAAAAATACAAAAAAAAAAAAAAATTGGACTTTGTCAAAGATCTATTGAGCATCTATGAACATAAAATTTTCTTATCTTTCACATAATATGATTGATTGTACTGATAATTCCTTAATGTTGAAATGTCTTTAGATTCCTGCAATGAAACTTAGCCAGTTAGAGTATGTTATTCTTTTCATAAGCTATTGGATGTTTTAGTTTATATTTACTTAGGATCTTTCTGTTGGTACTCGTAAGAGACATTGAGCTATAACTTTGTGTGTGTGTGAGTGTGTGTGTGATGTTTGGTTTTGGTATCAATTTATGCTCACTTCACAAAAAGAATTTAGAAAACTTCCATAATTTTTAGCATTCTGGAACAAAATTAGTAGCATTTGAGTCAACTAATCTTTACTATTTATGCACAGTTTCCTTTATGAGAAGCTGATCTTTTACAGCTTTAGGGAGTGGAGTGACAGTAGTAGTAGAGGTGGTAGGGAGGACAGTTCTTTATAATATTTTCTACAATGGTTTGGTTAGGTTTTCTATGTCTTTCAGGGTCTATTTTGGTAAATTATATTTTCTTGTAACATTGTACATTCCATCCAGAATTGTTGTTTATTTATTTATTTAAATATTTATTTTTATGTGTTTGGTACAGGGTCTCAATATGCAGCTCAGACTCGTAGTGATGATCCTCCTGTTTTCAGCCTCTCCAGCACTGGGATTATGAGCATGTGCCACCACGCCCCGTCTTGGTGGCTGGCTCAACCCACCTAGGGGCGGGACTGGTGTGGCATGAGGTGCCACAGATTGAACCCCAGCCCCTGTGCTTGCCTAAGCAGATGTTTAGTCTGCTGAGCTATCTTGCTGACCCTGTATTTCTTTTTCTTTTTTATGTATTTAGTATAGGGTCTACAGGGTCTCACTGTACAGATCGGACTTGTAGCATTTCTCCTGTTTGCAGCCTCCCAAGACCTGGGATCACAGGTGCGCACCACCATGCCCAGTCTTAGTTCACTCTGGGAGCGCTCTCTGGGAGCACACTGAACCCAGGCCCGCTGCACTCTGCCCAAACAGGTGCTTTAGTCCACTGAGCTATCTGGCCAGCTCTTAACCTAGTATTTATTTTTTTTTTAATTTTTTTTAAATTTCTTTATTTATTTTAGTGTGTGTGTGTGTGTGTGTGTGTGTGTGTCCAGCTCAGCCCACCAGGGGGCGGGCTGGCTGGCATGTGGTGCTGGGGATTGAACCGCGGTCGCTGTCCTTTTGCTTAGCTTAGCTTGTTCTAAGTAGGTGCTTTAGACCACTGAGCCATCTCACCAGCCCCCCTAGTATTTATTTTTAATAGAAAAGTTTTCTTTAAAAACTTAAGACGAAAAAGAACCCCAGTTTGTTTGTTTATTAGAATCCCGTTTAGATAGCAAGAGGGGGCACATCCTGATAGGAAGGTTTAGAGTGAGCTCTCAATTTTTGTGTTTTAAAGTTGAACAAAAATAGCTTATTATAAATGTATAATGTGGGCCAGCCAGGTTGCTCAACGGTCTAAAGCACCTTCTTAGGCAAGCTTAGGCAAGCACACAGGGACTGCAGGGGTTTGATCCCCGTACCTCATGCCATGCCAGCCCTGCCCCCAAGGTGGGCTGAGCCAGTCACAAAACAAACAAAAATGTATAATGTGTTTTCCTCCATGATTTTCTATAGTTTTATTCTGTATTTTTTTTTAAATCTTTTATTGGGGCTGGGGAGATAGTTCAGTAGAATCAGCACTTGCCTGGAAAGCACAAGATCCTAAGTTCAATCCTTGGTACTGCGAAAAAAATGTATTTTATTTATTTAATACAGTGTCTTACTACAGCCTGGCATGGCATGCTGTACAGGGGTTTGTAGCTGGGTCCTTGCATTTGCCAGACAAGCGCTTAAACCACTGAACTATCTTCCCTACCACAGTGTATCTTCTTTCTTTCTTTCTTTCTTTCTTTTCTTTTCTTTTTCTTTTCTTTTCTTTTTTTTTTTTTTTTTTGTATTTTAGGGAAGGATCCACAGGATGTTTAGGGTCTCACTACTAGATTGGATGTAGTGATTCTCCTGTTTACAGCCTCCCAAGAGCTGGGATTACAGGCGTGCGTCCTGGGGCGGGCCGGCACAGCAGGCCTGGGGATCAGCCCCTTTGCCCCCGCATCTGCTTGCAGGTGCTTTAATCCACTGAGCTATTTGGCCGGCCCTTGTATCATCTTTCTGACCAAGCATTGTTTCATCTTTCTAAATCCTTAGATTATGAAACTGAAGGTAGTAATATCATTAAGCTTCTCTTCTGGAGGGTTAACAACTTAAATTTACAGACAAAAATTAAAGAAAAAGAAGGGCTACAAGGACAGGCAACATTGGCCCTAGCCTTTCAAGGTCAGTAAGGACTCAGGATATAGGAGAACCTGTACTGTAACATCCTGTAACTCAATTGTGTCCCAAATTTTCTGATTAAGGAGATTTTGGGGTCACAGAGGAAAGTCATTGGTGATGTAGAGTGTGCCTAAGGAGAGTCACATGGAGAGAAAACATTCTCTCAAGTTCTCATAGAGAGCAAATTGGTCAAGCAATGGCTGACATGACTCATCCACATGGCTGACACTGACAAAGGATCTACAAACTGAGGTACAGGATTTCAGGTTAAATCCTGAGGGGATTTGACTGACCTTATCAGATACAAAAGGTACATTTCTTGTTATATAGGTCTTGCTCTTTCTTGGTCTTAACCATCCAACAGAAAAGTATGAAAATGAAGTATAAAAAGTAAAGTAAAAAAAAAAAAAGCCATATTATATGATGAGCTGTAAAAGGCTCAAGTCAACAACTTCGGACATTGACAGTCTTACAGAAAACCACTACTAATATGGACTATTGGACTATATTTGGATATTTTGCTGAAATCATGCACCTACAGTATTTAAATGACAATGGAATGCCCTTCTCTGACAAAACTAATAAAAAAAGGGGGATATAAATGAATGACCATTTTGTACGGTATACTCAAAATTGTTAGGATAGATACATAACTCCATTCTGTTAATTCAATGAATAGAGAGGTTTGTTCTAATAGTATTTGAGACAGGATATCAGGTCTGCATCCTGTACAATGAATAACCACTAAGACAACAATATGCAATGTATTAATTATTGAAAATGTACTAGTAATTGGTTGTGAAACTGTCTCATTGCTATGTTTCTCAATAAAATTTAAAAAAATAAATAAATCCTTAGATTTACTAGTCCTTTGATATTGGTTATCTCAGTTCATTGATTTCTTTACTAATTTTTTTCCCAGTGCGCTCTTGCTGTCTGTCTCTGTCTCTGTCCTTCTCTGTCTCTCTGTCTGTCTGTCTGTCTGTCTGTCTGTCTGTCTGTCTCTTTCTCGCGCGCGCTCTCTCTCTCTACTAGGAACTGAACTCAGGACCTTGAACTTGCCATGTAGGCGTGCTTGTGCTGCTGAACTATATCTTCAGCCCCTTGTGTTTATTTTTCTAATCCTTAAACCTATCGTGATTTTTGTATGGTTTGATTTACTGTGATTTTTTCATATGAGCCCTGCTTTAATTATATCAAATAAACACAGTGTAACAGTACCTTTTCATTTTCTAGGTATTCTACAATTTTGGTTTTGACTTCTTTCCTAATAGTCAGTTAGAGCACTTTTTTAGTGGTAGGTGCTTGTTTGAGACAGGGCCTTGTTTCGTAGTTCAGGATGGCTTGAACTCGCTATGTAGCCCACACTGGCTTTGAAATTGTGGCCATCCTCCTGCCTCAGCCTCCCGAGTATCGAGTATCGTGCCCACCAAGCCCAGCTTAGTGGTAGGTTTTTGCTACTTTATTTCCGTCTTGAGGACACTATTTAATCGTATTTGGTTCTCCACCTCCATTTGGCTCTTCCTCCATGGCTGGTGCTTTTGTGAGAAAGGTCGCGGAGGGAGAGGTCTCCCAGGGCAAAGGAGAGCGTGGGAAGCCCACACAGAAGAGTCCCTGGTGCAGGAGCAGGATAGCGAGGGCGCGACCGGAAGATCACACACGTCGGCGAGTATGCGGCCCGACGGGCCAATCATCGCCACCGAAAATCGTCTTCTGTGCTTTGATTGGCTTCGACGGAGACGCCCCCACCAGCAATTAGATCTGACGGTACCCGGCGAAGGACAATAGACTTACGGAGCCGAAATGCTTTTGCATATGTAAGGTTTTTAGGCTTTCCATCCCTACTGCCGCAGGGTTCCCTAAATATGACAGTGGCCTCGGCAGTGTCTGTGCTGCTGGTGGCGACGGAGAGGAATCGGTGGCAGCGTCTCTCGGTCCTGCTGCTGCCTCCGAGGTAACGGTGGGTGGCGGGGCGTGGGTAAGCGCGCTGGGGCCAAGGTGCCTGGGAGGTGCGGGGCGGAGGGTCGGGCGTGCCTCAGCGCCCCTCCGGGGAATTCTGCGGGCAGCCCTGTAACACATTCACCTGCTCTCGGCTTCTCGTTTTCTATTTCGAGGGCTTGAGCAGAGGTAGAGCCGGGCCTGCCTTCCTGCGTTTACCTCGGGCTTTCCTAGCACCGATGGCGTGGGACGCGGTTACTGTCTGCTTCTGAGGAAGCTCAAGGGGAGTCGACGATCTGCCCGGATTACTCTACGAGCGAGAGCTAAGGCCTTCGCTTCCTCCAAGCCCGTCTCAAGCTATCCCCCAACTCCTAAGAATCCTGTGGTTTTTGTTTGTTTTTTTCACCCATTCTCGGAATAATTCAAGAGCAAATTTACCTTCCTCAGGGCAAGGAAGTTTTATCAAAGTCGCTTGTACCCAATTCGAACAAAGCTATCGGGAGACTGAATTAGTAACCGGATTCCAGATCCATTTCGGATTTTGAGTTTCTGGCTTTAGTGAGGGTAACTTGGGCGGCAAAAACACTTTTTGAATTTGCAAGAAGAATCCTCCTTTTCTTCATTGTTACCCTTCTGGAAAAACAGTGTAGCTTCATATTCCAGGGCACAGACTGCAGCCAGAAGGCTGTGATCAGAGCTACTCGCTAGGTGTGTGCCCCTGGCTGAGCGGCTTCAGAGCCTGCAAAAGGCTTCAGCCTTCGCACCTGGAAGCAGGTGATGATACTGGTACTTTCACTTACGCAGATTAACATGTGGGAAGAAGTTAAAGCCGAATCTGGGCACAAGAATCGATCCATAAGCAGCCTTTGCAGACTTAGTCACCTAGATTAGCTATTGTGTTTGCTTGATTTTTCCGCAGATGATTGCAGATGGTTTGGCTTTTCACTGCCTTTTTACAGAACTAATTCCCAAGCCAGCTCAGGAAGTTGGTGAAAGTAGTGTTAGTGGTCTTCTCTTTCCCCTGGTATTTCCTGGGTTTCCAGGGTTCTTCAGGACGCTACGACAGAGCTATTCTGTCTCGTATCCCATAGCTAGATTACTGTCTATAGAGTAATCTAGCTGTCACCTAGTGATGTTAAACCTATTAATGATTTATAGATTAAAATTTTATCACTGTGAGGGTTTTTTATTTTTTGAGAAAGGGTCTTTCTGTGTAATTCAGGCTAGGCTTGAACTCACTATGTAGCCCAGGCTGGCCTGGAGCACATGGTGATCCTCCTGCCTCAGCTCCCCGGAGCGCTGGGATTATATGTGTGCGCCACCATACCTGGCTGGTATGGGGATTTGACATTTCTTTTTACACAGGAATTCTCTACTAACTCTGAGACAACCTCCAGTTGTGGAATTATAGACACAAGAATGGAAACTATCTTGAATCACAGTGTAATTATCTCATGAAAGCAATTTCTTAATCTTTCAAGTCACTTTGTTAGTTGTAGTTTAGATAATTGTGAAAAAAATGTAATAAACCAATTAGCACATTGTTGGAATACAGGGCTATAATTCAATATTATCATTTGGGGGTGTTCTAATATTTTTTGAGTTCTTTGTATATTCTCTAGATATTAGTTCTCTGAGGAATAGCCCATATTTTTTTTTCTATTCTGTAGGTTGTGTCTTTACTCTGTTGGTTCTTTCTTTTGCTATGGAGAAGTTTTTTGTTTAAAATTGAATATGATTCTCCAGCACTCAGGAGGCTGAAACAGGAGGATCACTGTGAGTTTGAGGCCACCCTGGGTTTCAAAGTGAGTTAAAAGCCAGCGTGAACTACATACCCTGTCTCAAAAAGATCAGCAAAAAAAGGTTAAGGTGATTCCATTTGTTGACTCTTGATATTATTTCTTGTGCAACTGGGATTCTGTACAGAAAATTCTTGCCTACATCTGTGTCTTCAAGAGTTTTAGGGGCCAGGGAGATGGCTCAGTAGAATAAACACTTGCCTGGCAAGCACAAGGGCCTGAGTTCAATCCCCAGTTCTGCCAAAAAAAAAAAAAAAAAAAAAGTTTTACCTATTTTATTTTCTAGCAGATTGTGTTTCTGTTTTATCTTTTAGATCTTTAATCATTCATTTTAATTTTAGTTTAGTACATGGTTAAGACACTTGTACTTTTTTACCATGTGCTTAATGAAGAATCTAAAATAGTCCTTAAAGCATGATTTTACCACATTTTCCACTAGAGATGGAAAACACTAAGGTGGGATTGCTCCTGCAGTTTGGTTTTGCGTCATGTCCTCTCAAGCTCAGAACCACTAGGCTTTATATTTTCTTGTTCTCTGAGCAAAGCTGGCCCGTATTCCATCAGCTCTTGGTTAACATTTCAGTGTTAACTTATTGTATGAGTAGGTATCATAGAACTTAAAAAAAATTTTGTGGTAGAGACTTTCATGGGTTTTTATCTAGCTAAGACAACTCAAGAAAACTTGTTCTGCCTCCATTTTTCTACTTTTTAATATAAGGACTTGCAATAGAAGAGTGTAGTTTTAGAAGTGAGAAGTGTCTTCTGGGTCACTTCTTGCCCTCTTCCCTCCTATGTGAGAACGTGGAATCCAAGGTGGAGAGCATGCATTCTGAGAGGGATGTTATTGAAGGCAAAAATTCGTTCTTGGGAAGATAAAAATATGTTAGACATTGTCATGGTTTGTGGTCCCATAAAACTTTTTTTTTAAATTTTATTTATTTATTTTATTTTTTATTTGTGTGTGTGTGTGTGTGTGTGTGGCCAGCTCAGCCCACCAGGGGGCGGGGCTGGCTGGCATGTGGTGCTGGGGGATTGAACTGCGGCCCCTGTGCTTTCCTAAGCTTGTTCTAAGTAGATGCTTTAGACCACTGAGCCATCTCACCAGCCAGGTCCCATAAAACTTGATCCTTCCTATTAACTTTTTTTTTTTTAATGTATTTGGTACAGGGTCTTGCTACACAGCTCAAACTGGTAGTGATCCTCCTGTTTTCAGCCTCCTCAGTGCTGGGATTACAGGCATGTGGTGCCAGACCTGGACTCCATGGCCGGCTCACCCTACCCAAGGGCCGGGCTGGCGTGGCATATGGTGCCAATCAAACCCCAGGTCCTGTGCTTGCCTAAACAAGTGCTTAATCCCCTGAGCTATCTCACCTGCCCTCCTTCCTATAAACTCTTATTCCTTACTATATAAGTCTCCATTAGGAAGGGAATAATGTAGGGTGGGGGCATTAAGAAACACTGATGTAAACTAACTTGACCTTGGAGGATCTCAGATAATAGCCCAGCTTTTGTGGCCCCATTTACTTCTCTGGTCTGAATGTCAATCATGTCCTATCAGAAGATTGAATTTGATTAGTATTTTTCAAATTAGTATGATAGCACACTTAATCAAAGAAATAAAAAGTGTCAAAATGCAGGGTGAGTCCTCTCTTGCAAAACCTAATAGTGTGTGTCCCAGGTAGTTCGTAATAGTCAAAATGTTTGAAGAAAGCCCAAGTACATGATCTTAAAACACTTTGGCTTTTTTTTTTTTTTTTTCTCTAGTCAAGGGAGGGAAACTTTATTCAGGCCCCAAGGCTGCAGGCGTTGGACGAGGGGCTGGCTGAGCTTTATTTGACCTTCTTCTTGGGGCGCAGGTTGTTGGTGTGGCCACAGTTCTTCTTGCGGCAGTTGACAGCACGGGGGTGCAGGCGGGCATAACACTTGCGGCAGATCATCTTGTCACAGTCGTACTTCTGGGCAAGCTGGCGCAGGGATGGCTCGATGATCCCACCTCGCAGGCGAAGCACCAGGTGCAGGGTGGACTCTTTTTGGATGTTGTAGTCAGAGAGGGTCCGCCCATCCTCCCGTTGTTTGCCGGCAAATATCAGACGCTGCTGGTCAGAGGGGATGCCCTCCTTGTCTTGGATTCTGGCTTTGACATTCTCGATGGTGTCACTGGGCTCAACCTCGAGGGTGATGGTTTTGCCCGTCAGGGTCTTCACAAAGATCTGCATGTCTGCGTCTGCCGCTCAGCCGCCTCCTTGAAGAGAAAGAGGGCGACAGAACCGGAAACCGCCTGTTCACCGCTGAGAGCGCCTCCACTTTGGCTTTTTAATTGTCCCTGACTCTGTGGTTTAATACCAGCAGTGGGTATAAACAGGTTAGAACTTGAAGTGCAAGTGGAAAAGAGCCAGAAATCTAACTCCTGATGTTTGGATTAGTTTTTGTTCTACAAAAAAAAAAAGTGTTGGGGCTGGTGAGATGGCTCAGTGGTCTAAAGCACCTACTTAAAACAAGCTCAGCAAAGCACAGGGACCACGGTTCAATCCCCCAACACCACATGCCAGCCAGCCCCGCCCCCTGGTGGGCTGAGCTGGCCACACACACACACACACACACACACACACACATAAATACATAAATAAATAAAATTTAAAAAAAAAAAGTGTTGTCAAAGGACTTTGTGAGAGGGCATAAGCTTTTTACCTCTCTCTCTGTCTCTCTCTCTCTGTCTCTCTCTCTCTCTCCTTTTTTCTTTCTTTATTTTGACAGGCTCTTGCTGGTCTTGAACTCACTATATAGTCCCGGGTGGCCATGAATTGTCTTCCTGCCTTAGCCTCCCAGTTGCTGGGATTACAGGCATGTGCTGCCATCCCCGGCTGGTTTAATTTAGATTGTATCTGGACTTGGTTTTATGTTCTTAAAAAGTTGGATTCTTTCAAAGGAACAGTGACTGATCATGTATATTCTGATTAATTATAATTCCATTTGGATTTGTTTTGTAGAAAATGGGCTTGGAACCAAAGAAACATGAAATACACAACAGCCACAGGTACTGACAGACTTTATTGTTGTGTTGGACTTGGCTTCAGATTGTGTACTAAGAAAGAAAAATGTTTAATTTGTAATTTGTGTAACAGAATTAGTTCCCACAAACCTTTTAAGGTCTAGATTATTATAATAATTTTCTTACTTATTACTAAGTCAGGTTTTCACTCGCTTTATGTCAAATCTCCCTTATTGTTGAGCCTAAAAGATAGTGGGGTAGGGCTGGGCAGTAGGTTGGTGGTCTAAGCGCCTACCTGCCAAGTGCAAGGACACAGGTTCGATCCCCAGTACTGCATATCATGCCAGCCCCAGACTGAGCTGGCCTCCGAACTGTATAGCAACACCCTGTACCAAATAAATTAATAAATAAATAAAGGACTTTTTAAAAAGATAGAACAGTAATAAGGAAGACTATTTTATATTTATGTCGTTATTTTAGTCTTCAGCATACCAGATTGGAGAAGCATAACTGTGATGGTCTAAATCAATGCTTTTGAAAGACTTTAGGTAAAGGAAATTTTTTTCCAAATAAAATTTTAGGAGTTTCTCCATTGTAAAACTTGTGGAGCGTAGAACAAGTTTATGTTCAGGTTGATTGCCTACAACCCTCTACTTACCGTACAACATGCTGATAAATACTTCATCTTGAAAAAAAAGAAAACACGACTTCATCCCAGTAGCTGCCATAATCTGTGCTAGCCCTTGGACTATATGAATTCCTGTTTTATGAAATCTTATTTTTTGAGAATAACTATTTTAAACTGCCAAATAATATTTATTTCATATATGACAGAAATACGTGTTATATATTAATGCACCAGCGCACCATTCTGATGGCAGTAGACTGGCCACGGGCATTTCCATTGGAAGAGAAGTACATGGTCCCATGTGCGTGGGGACAGAGCCCATGGCAGAGTCACTGAGAGTACAGATTCCGGGGTGAGGCGTACCTTGCTACGCAGCGCCAACTCTTAGTGATCCTTCTGTCTCAGTCTCCCATTGCTGGGATTACAGGCATATACCACCATGCCTGGTTTCAGGTCCTTGCGACTGCCGCCGAGCTATCTGCCCAGCCCAGGTCCTTTGTCTCTAACTGTGCTAATATCAGAGTTCCAGTTGACTCCTTAGCGTAAGATCTGGGTCGTAAGTAGTGCTAGTGAAAAATGAGTTATTAACTCGGGCCAGGGAGATAGCTCAGTGGCATAAGTGCCTGCCTAGCAAGCATAAGGTCCTGAGTTTGATCCCTGGTACCAAAACAAACAAACAAAACAACCACACAGACAGAAAAATGAGTTATTAACTAAGGTGATTTAAAGCTATTGTAGGGGGCAGGGGAGATAGCTCAGTAGAATAAGCACTTGCCTGGCAAGCTCAAGGTCCTGCATTCAATCCCCAGTTCCACAAAATAAATAAATAAATAAAGCTATTGTAATTTTACCCCTTGCTTAATAAAGTACCTTTGGAGTTGAAAAAGCTAAGTTATTTAAGAGTCTATGTGAGTAGAGGTATCTTGGATTTCCACGAAAAAACATGCATTGTCAGCTACTACTTAAAATGGTGATTTTAGGCTCCCTTATGCTGACTTTACCAAAACAAAACCTGCTCCGCCAATTACTGACATGTTCTCGTTCACGTTTCTTTTTCTTTAGTAACATTTCTGTATGATCTTCGTGGTATTTCCAACAGGAAGAAACATCACCAAGGTCCTCATTGCAAACAGAGGAGAAATTGCCTGCAGGGTGATGAGAACAGCCAAGAAAATGGGTGTGCAGACTGTGGCTGTTTACAGTGATGCTGACAGGAATTCCATGCATGTGAATATGGTAAGCTGTCAAAGCTGGGAGCTGCATCTTGTGAACAATCCCATTTGTTTGCTTATTATGTCATTTTGGTTTTCTTTTTTCTTCATTTAAATTTATTATTATAATAAATATTGCTAATATAATTAATATTTATTTGTTATCATTATCAATAATTATTAATAAAATTATCAATAAATTATTGTTGCTATTAATATAATAAATATTGATAATATGATAGGATTTAAATAAGGAAGTTTAAACTGCTCATTAATAATTCTTGGGAACACTTTTAAAGTATAGCAGTTGAACTAGACAGTGTACTTGTGAAATTCAGCGAGATAAACACGCAGGAAAGACCAAGAATGGGAACAAGAAGGCTGTTAGGGGCTGGGGAGATGGCTCAATAGAATAAGCACTTCCCTGGCAAGCCCAAGGGCCTAAGTTTAATTTCTGATTCTGCAAAAAAAACCAAGAAGGCTTTTATTGTCAGCAGGATGATGACCTGATGCAAAAAATCAGGGAATGTCAATGGCCAGAGAACTTTGTACTGGGTTTTTATACATTTACAAGTAACCATGGTAACCACATTACCTCATTTTAGAATTTGATAAAAATGTCACAAGGTTTACATTTCCCAGGGGTTGGTAGTATGGTTAAATTTTAGCTTACTATGGTTTGTTCTAATTGTGTGTTCTTTAGGTTAGCGATTTGTTCTCCTTTGCAGGTTTTATGGTTAACCAAGAGGGGAGAGGTTAAGGAATGAATTCACCTAAAGTTTAAGTGACTTTAAAAAAAAAAAGTTTAAGTGACTTCTAAAGTGGAGTTAAAAAATGGAGTCTCTCTTGCCATGTCATACTTAGTGTCAAAGATGGTTTTCAGGCAGGTTTTTGTCTCATCAAGGATAGATTAAAACAGCTCATGAAACATAGCTAATCTACAGACCCCAGTCTGAGTAACACATGGCCACGTCGTGATATAGAAGGAGAAAGACCCTATTCTCAGCAGCTATCACTTGGTGCCCAAATGATCTTAGACAAGTCATTTTATGTTCCTGCACCTAAGCTTATCTGTACAAGTAAAAAATGCCATGTATAACGGCACATACCCATAATCCTAGCTACTCAGGAAGCTGAGGCAGGAGAATCACCAGTCCAAGGCCAGCCTGGGCAATTTAGTAATGTAGTGAGCCTGTGTCAAAATTTAATTAATTAATTAATTAATTAGAGACAGGGTCTTCCTATGCAGTCCAGGCTAGCCTCAGATAAATTTCCTATGTAGCCTAACTAACCTCAAACCCATGATTTTCCTGTGTCAGCCTCTTGAGTATTGGGATTAAGGCCAAAAAAAAAAAAAAGTTTTTAATCAGCTGGAGATGTACCAGAGTGATAGCGTGAGCCTAGAATCAATCTGTTAATACTGAAAAAAATGAAGGAGGAAGAGGAGAGAAGAATTTTCAGGACTTCTGGGAAGATGGTGGCAGAGTGATGAACAGCAGAGAAACAGGCTCGCTGAGATTTGGTATTCAAAAACTAGAATGTAAAATACATGTGGAAGAGAAGAAGGAGGGAAATGGGTCGCCAGGAGCCAGCAAGAATCTGAAATGAGAATTGAAACCCATAGAAAGAATGAAGACGGGGGTGGGGGGGAGAGAGAGAGAGAGAGAGAGAGAGAGAGAGAGAGAGAGAGAGAGAGAGAGAGAAAGAGACAGAGAGACAGACACAGACACAGACACAGACACAGACAGACAGACAACACAGAAGGAGGTGGCAAGTAGCACTTTCTCTCTGAGCCCTGACTCACTGTGTGGGAGGGTGGCTCAGTCCTGCTTCTGCATGATCACTACTCCAAGCCCAGAGGCCTCCATGGAGATATGTACCAGTGGATGCAGCAGACTCCAGTGACTGCTAAGTTGTTCAGGTTCTGATGTCCATCAGGAGAGGGCCGTTAGCTGGTAGCCCTTGAAGAGAGAGGCCAGCTGAGCTGGGAACTCAGAGAAGCTGCGGGCTGGCTTCCTAAGGCAGCTCCCAGTGTCAGGGTGAGGCAGAACCAAGTTCAAATTGCCAGCAGGTCAAAGAGCCGAGTTCAAGCAGGAGGCGCACAGAGTGTTGCAAGCTGACCAAATCAGATTCCAGCCTCACATCCAGACACCAACCTGGACTTCAGTGGTACACTAGATGCAGGCTTGTTGGATTATCCACTGCTGCAGTATAGATCTATGGCTGGTCTGCTGGGATTAATCGATACACATCTGGGCTCTTTTGGCCCACTGTATCTACTGCTAACAGCTGAGACACTTCCTGAAGTTTTTCATTTTCTTCTTTTTATTCCTCTTTTTTTGTTTTGTTTTGTTTTGCTTGTTTGTTCATTTTTTTATATATGAACATTGTTTCTAGTTCTCTTATTTTATTCTACTTTTACTGCTTCCTTCTTTCTCCCCTATCTTTGTCACCAGTTTATCAAAGTTTATTTAATCTTCCTTTGTTCTCCAGTCTTGCTTCTAATCTCTTCCTCTTCTTCTGTTTCTCTATTTTTTCCCTTAACTCCTTTTAAATTTTTTCCCCTGAGGACAAAATTACCATAGTGAGGGCATATTTACTCTATGTAACTTTCTAGTTTGTTTTAGATTTTGTTATATAAACACAAATCTAATTCATGTGGCTAAGGGTGACAAATTAATAGTTATCATATTTGTCATTTTCTTCTCTGTGTTTGATGCTATTGTTGTTGCTGATTATATTACTTTATCCAAGGTAACGTAATTGTTCTCCATCAGTTGTTCCTACTGGTATTCCAAAACTGAGATTGCCTAAAGGTCATAACCAGTATTACCTGGCAGTGCCAAAGACCCAGGGGCTAGGCCAAATAGGCAGCAAGTTCTCATCTTCATTAAATTGAATAATTAGGATCTTGCCAAAGGCTCCAAACCCAAAAGCCAGCTACACCTGGAAGTCACCTCTGAGCAGTAGTCATTTCCTAAGAGTTGTAAATAAATAGCAATAAAGCCACTCACCATAGGCAATTTATAAGCATCAACACAGGAATTAAACTAAAAAAGAAACAAAACAGAAAATAAAACACTTAAACAAAATGCAACCCCAGAATTACAGTTCACTGAAAGCAAACCCAAGGTACAATGACGTGAGGCAGTCTAAAAGCCAGCCACCTGGCCTCTCTCAATTGGTGACAGCAGAAGTAACAGGGCAGAGGAATGAGACACTAGAAAAAAAAAAATCAAATCAGAAATAATGTCATATAAGTGCAGAGATGGTGACCATAATGAAAGATATTCTTAGTGACTTTAGATATGCATTAAAAACAAACGAACAGGGGCCTGGCCCTAGCTCAGGCCTTTAAGTGGCTGCTTCCACAAAGCTGTCAGCCTCAGGTTGCTGGAGTTCGAACCTCGCAACTCTCCCGCTGGCCAAAAGTGCCCTGAAGCCATTCGAGGAACAAAAAAAAAAACAAACAAAAAACACAGAAACCAGAGGAGTTTAGGCAAATGATGGAAATAATAAGCTCCCAACATTGGAAAGAAATAGGATCCATGAAACACATTCAAACAGCTAACTAGAAGATTAAAAATTCCTTTGCAAGTATACACAGCAGGATGAGCCCTTGTGAGAGGGGAATATCAGATCTAGAAGAGAAGATTGTGGTTAGTGATTATGAAAAGAAAGATTTCTTAAAAATAGCAAGGGAACACACACACACACAAAATTCAACAGCTGATAGATGATCCAAAGAAGAATAGCATAAGATTGATTTTAGTGAAAAAGCAGAAAGCAGTGAAAATGACATGAAAAACCTGTTCACAGAAGTAGTGGTAGAAAAGTTCCTAAGCATGGAAAAAGAGTTTTACATATAAATGATGTATACAGAACTACAGTTACCAAGGGCCGGCCTGATAGCTTGTGGACTAGAGCTCCTGCTTAGGCAAAGTGCAGCAGCTGGGGTTTGATCCCCGGCATGCCATGCCAGCCCTACCCCCGAGACATGCTGAGACAGTGATGGAGACTGGGAGTGGTGGCAACATGCCTGTAATCCCAGTGCTTGGGAGGCTGAAAACAGGAAAATTACTATGAGTCCAATCTACATAGTGAGACCCTATAGACCCTGTAGACCCTGTCCTAAATACAGAAGAAGAAAAAAAAAAAAAAAAAAAAAAAAAAAAAAAACTACAATTATCCATGATTTAGAAAAAAAAAAATCTACAGCAAGGCATATCATAGTCAAGATTCCAGAAATTCAACATAAGAACAGAATTTTCAAAGCTGTTAGAGAGAATAAACAAATCACCTTTTAAAAAAAGCCCATCAGAATCATAACAGAGGGCTGGTGAGATGGCTCAGTGGTCTAAAGCACCTACTTAGAACAAGTTTAGCAAAGCACAGGGACCATGGTTCAATCCCCCAGCACCACATGCCAGCCAGCCCTGCACCTTGGTGGGCTGAGCTGGCCACACACACACACACACACACACACACACACGCACAATAAAATAATTTTTAAAAAAATTAAAAAAAAAAAATCATAACAGACTTCTCAACACAAACCCTGTCAAGGAGAGCATAGATTGACATATTTCAAGCTCAAAGAAAACAAACTCCAACCCAGATTGATGTATCCCACAAACTATCTTTCAAAATAGAGAAATATATTTCCATTACAAAGAAAACCTGAGGAGATTCATGACCATCAAACCAGTACTCCAGAGTATTCTGAAGGATATTCTAGAGGAGATAACAAAGATTACAACTCTATTAACCCAAAAGAATGAATCTAGGGGCTGGGGAGATGGCTCAGTGGAATAAACACTTGCCTGGCAAGTGCAAGGGCCTGAGTTCAATCCCCGGTTCCGAGAAAGAAAGAAAAAAAGAATGAATCTACCAGCCAAGGTAAGCAGTTAAACAGAGGAAGGGGAAAAGGGGGCCAACAATAGGAAAATAACATGACAAGGATAAGTCAATGTTGATGGTCCCAATTCACCAATAAAAAGAAACAGACTAGCAGAATGGATCAGG